CCCGTCCTATTTGCTCACAACACTAGTGATGATACCGTAACTCGATTATGCTTCGAAATGATGTAACACTCCATGCTTTTCTTTCCCTTTAATATTTTTGATAAAATTCATAAATTGTGCTACTGTTCTGAAAATAGATTTCTAGGTTCATCTCGGGTGGGAGTTGTTGGCAGAAGTCTTGCTTTATAAGACCCAACATTGGCGGCCTCACCAACACTTTATTTGAAACGTCAAAAGCTTCATCTGTGAGCTCCTTCCTTGACGCCCAGTTTGGGTGGTAGGACCTCACGTGAAGAAGACGTGGTTTTGAGGACAAGTATAGATATTGGTGGGAGCATATGGAAAGACAGGGCATCGGGCATGAGGCTGGCAGTATGATTTAGAAAAAGATCAGTGGCATGGCATCTTGCAGTGCCCATGGCTGTAATATTTTATGCTTTATCACTTGTATAAATGGGCTGGTTACTATGTAAATATTGATCCCGTAGCAGCCGTACTTGTCTTGTTATTGGTGTTTTTGTTAGTACAAAACAAGATCGAGATACTCTTCCATCTCTCATGTGAAGTCAAAGATGTGCAAGTAAGAACAACCTGAAACCTTAAACGGAGAGACCTGTTAACTTGTTTGGCCGTAAGTTGCCTTGAAGCTTATAATAAACGGCCGTGCGGTACTAGTTATAATTGTGACGATTACTGCAGATTTTAAGTAGAAAAATTAATTACTTGCAAGTCCATCGCTTGTAAATAATGCCGAAGTTTAACTTATCAATGAAACTGAAAAAAATAAGTAATTAATTTTTATTTTAGACTAAATTGTAATTCTTTCTTTATAAATTATTATTTAAATCACACAACTTGTGATTATTTATATAAATAATGATGTATGTAATGATAATGATATTGTCTCCTTTGTACTTTTGACTAAAACCCTAAAAAGAGCAGCGGCATTTCGGACGCACCAACACAGATATCACCTACCAAGTTATGCGTATATCATATTTTCCCAAGCATCTCACCAGTCACCACACAATGTGGCCGATGTGCAGAATTGATACTGGTTAAAGTACGAAAATAATTGTCTAGGGACTATGATTATTTTTAACAGCTGAGAAAAATTCCAACTTTTTAAAAATTGTGGTAAATATTTGCCAAAATAGAGGTTTTTTTTTGTTTGGGGGGGGGGGGGGGGAGAAGAGGTCGTTCACACCTATCTCCCCCTCCTCTGTGTGATAAACGATTGTACATTATTTTTTCTCAACTGTCTCTGAAAAAGTCCTAGTCAAAAGGTAACCTATGAGTTATATGTGATTAAATAAGAAGAATTATTATTTTGACCAAAGATTATAACTCTAATGTTAAACGCTTAACCAATAAATATAATATGTATATATATACTCCTCCAATCCTTAATATGAGAATTAATCAACTAATTTGAGTAAATAAAAAATGTTAGTTAAATCAGCTAATATCATACTTTTTTTTTAAAAATACCATAAGCATATTTCTTAATTCCCTCCCTACTTCTCTTACCTGATTATTGTTGGGGGATATTAATAGGATTAATTTAGAAAAAATTAATAAACATGTGAAATAGGTTTTACGTATAAGATTAATATTAACTTTTTAATTATATCTTATATTAAAGATCGAAGGCGCATATAGTTTTATTCCATAGAATGTTGGTGCTTTCAATTGAAACAGTCTTATTTAAATTAGACTATTATTTTAATCTGCTTGTGGCAAAAGCAAATGCATTATTAATCAATAATTAAATAACTCATTAAAACTGAGCTGGCCATCCCAATGTTTGAATCTTTCAAGCGCGGGCAACTGGGCAAGGCAATGTTGGAAGCAACGGGGCCTATAGAGCATTATTTGACTCTGAAAATCATGAACGGTGTCCTCACAAACAAGTAAACAATTACTTATGAGATGCCGTCTTTTTGTATATTATTAACTCTTAATATTCACACATTAAAATGGAGGGACGGCACGTAAAGTCAACAACAATTTCACTATTGATCATGTGTATTCAAAGAAGGAAGCCGCAGGTCATATTGAAAACGTCATCCTCAAAAAAGAAAGAAAATTATAGGAAACTTCAACACCAGACTAAACCTAACCCAAGAAGAAAGTCCCATCCATGTATATAAAGCTAGCCCATCACTTATCCTCCCCACACCAACCCTCTTCGTTTCATCCTTACTAATCGCTGACAATTGCTTCAAAATCCTATCTTTTGCCAGATTAAGCCATGTTTAGATCGCTGACTACTCGAAGAGGCCATGGAATAGGGAGGTATGAGAGGTTAGGCAAAGAAGGCAGTGCTATTAGCCCTTTGATTCCCCTGGAGCTGAAGAGAAGCACCAGTTTGCCTGTTGCTGCTTCGTCCAGAAAAGCTGCGACCTTTGGTGGTGGGCTCGCCAGTAATTTACAGAGACAGCCTACGAAGAAGACGACGAAGGAGAAGAGTCACCCCCTGTTCAGCTTCATGGATTTTCGTCGCAAGAAGAAACCCACGTCGAGGCCTGAGTTCGTGAGGTATCTTGAGTATCTGAAAGAAGGAGGCATGTGGGACTTGAATTCCAACAAGCCCGTCATCTATTACAAGTGAAATAAAGCTTAGTTGCTTCCATTATAGATCCCCCCCCCCCAAGTTCCTTCCTCCCGTGCATTTGGATTCTTGTATCCGACCGATCAAAGATTTTGTTTATATATTATATGCCAATTGCAAATTAAAGTATATACATATTCGTTCATCATGCGTCGGGGAATCAACGCATCTCGTAATGTTCAGGCGCCAATACAATTTAAAAACAAAAAAGAAGATATGAGAGCCGGCGAGTGGAAAAAGGCCTCTCAAACAAAAAAGAAGAGGAATCAATCCCCGTTGCTACCATGTTTTTATGGGCGATGAGAGCCGGCGAGTGGAAAAAGGCCTCTCAAACTCTAAGAATCCACCAACCACCCAACTCTAAACTACCAAAAAGAAATACCTCAGGCACGTGAGATTTACTCCTCCAGTTTTTAATATAAGATTCATTTAACTAATTTGATTAGATTAAAGAAGTTAGGTAAGTTAGTTAATTATAAGAAAAGTCACACATTTTTCCTAAAACATCATAATCATCTTTCTTAATACCCCATCTCCCTCTTCTACTTGATTATACTTCAGGGAGTATCCATAGAGGTAATTTAGGGAAAATTGATAAATATGAGAAATTGATATTATATTTAGAACCAAAATTAACTCAAGAATTGGATCTTATATTAAGGATTGGAAGAGTATATTTCTCGGTAAAAATAGATTATTTAAGTTTTATAAATCAAATCCGGTAAAAGAGTATAAAACGTACTTGACAAGAAAACCTTGATGCTCGCGAGAAGTTGACATTTCCCAAAACAAAACAGAAAGAGCTGAGAAGAACTGCGGGAAGAAGAACAGTTGATGGAGCCAGCAGTGGCTGAGCATGACTCAATCAAGTGTATAGAATAATGTCATCCGATCCCCAATCTGCTGCTGACCACAAATATAGAATCTTCCAGAAGAAAGCCGTTTGTGATTGTAACTCTTTATTTAAGTGACTGAAGACATATAAATAACACTGTTATGTGGCTGTGATGAATTGCTTAGCAGAGAATGAAAAAGTGGGGAATTTCATTCCACTGCGATGAGATGATGAGAGCATTTGAAGACTTTGAGAGGAAATGAAGTAAGCCATCCATGCCATGTTGCTGCTGCTTTGGTCCACACACAAACCAACCTAGCGGCATTGATTCTCTGCCCTCTTCCCCACACAAGTATCTCTCCTCACTTTATGCTTTTACTTCCAAGTTCAACTACATGCCAACAGCTTTCACTCTAAGCTACATATTTTTTCCCTCATCAATTGCATACAGCCAATGACAAATATAACAGATGATTTCGGCAAAAAAAGAAAAAAATTAATAACAACAGATGATAAATAAATTTGATGATGGTTGTGGAAAAAAAACAAGTAATAGTTTCTCTGGTCCTGTATATAGGATACAGATAAATGAAGTATACAAAAAACAATCAGTTCAAATTAGTTCATAAAGGCAACATATATGTGAAAAATGCATGTTTTTCTAAGTATACCCTTCTTTATAGAAATGGTGTGTGAGAGAGAATGAGTGAGTAAAATATGTGACATAATTAATGACGGAAACATATAATTAATGAGTTAAAAAAACTAATTTTAAACGCATACGAAATGAATTCTATCCCAAAAACTGTAACTTTGCTGGGGAGGGAGGATGAAAGGTTGTGTGCGCATAAAATTAGAGGGGAGGTGGGTACTCGGAGGGGCTGCGGTTGGAGCTGAGCACGGGGGATGCCTGGGTAATTTCCTTTAATTAATTAATCAACGAACCATTTATTGTTATAATTAATAATAATAATTAGATAAACACATGCAATTAATGTTTGCATACGGAATTAGAAATTTTTCCAAAAAAATCTACACACATTTCAAAATATGCACTATTATTTTATTTTTTTTTGTGGCCACGTAGGGTATAAATTAATTGGGGAAATTTGTGAAAGGAAAGCGAAATAAATTGAAAAGGCAAGAGGGGTGCGTGTTCAGGTATTGACAAATTGCGGGGTGGGACTGTGGGAGGGTAAGGGTACGACCGTAATCTAGAGAGAGAGAGGCGGTCGTTTGCTTGAAGTTGGAAGGAGAACAAAACACATAAGAAAATAAAAGGGGGCGCAGTTTCTTGGGGAGAAGGGTAGGGAGGGTGTTGTGCTGTGTTGGATTTTTATTTTGCGTCTCCGAAGGTGCGGGAACACCCCTCCAAATTTATGATGCTTCACCCTTCATTCCCTCCCTCTGCTTCCTCTTCCTCCTCCTTCCTTTCTCTCTTTTCTCATTAGGGTTTCTGTTTCTCACCTCCCCCCCACCCCCAAATAAGGTATGTCTCTTCCCTTCTCTCTCCCCCCCTCTGTTTTGCTCTCATCAACTTGTTTGATTTCGCTTTCTTTTTTATTTCTTTGATGTAAACAAGAGTACTTCCTTAAACACAACGATTTCGATTTCGATTTTGTGCTGGTCTTTTATTTTCTCTTTTGCCCATAAAAAAATAGCAGTTTTGACATCGGCTACCATTCATCTCGCTTGGCGGCTCAATTTTCCCTATTTCATTTCTTCTCTGTTTTCTTGGATTTGGAATGAAACGGAACCCTTGCCTGCTTTGAAATCCCGTTTCTTTCTGTTCGGTTTCCGATGGAAGTTTGTCAATGTTTTTAATCACTCTCCCTCTCTGTCTCTTTCATTTTTCCCTTCGAGTATCGCATTCTATGCAGCCATTTGAAATATGTCCGGAGAAGTAGACCATGCGTTCCTTCGAATCCCACGGGTTTTTACTTTGAATTTCTCCATATTGTAAAAAACCTTTCGATTGTATTTTAAATTTAAATATCTTACGGTAATATTGCTCCCCACTTGGTTATGTTTGGATCTTTGCGTTCCTGCCTTTTTCTTGGCGGCTCAACAGAGATGCTTGACTCTTCCGCGCCTTTTATGGCCGGACAAGTATAGTTATTAGGGGAACAAAAAGAAAATTATTCATCGTTACTCTGCATCTCAGTGTGCATTTATTACTTTTGTGGCCATTTCTCTATCATGGTATGTTGCTTTAGTGATATGCTAAGTCGAGCTTTTAGTTAGCCTGGTTGAGGTACTCGGTCATTGGAAATGCTATGAATTTAAGCCGATTTAAAAATGTTTACAGTTGTATCATCTTTTGATTTTGACAGCCATGCCGACCTTTACTGCAATAGCGTTTGATACATTGATAGAGCCTAAAGCTTCTAAATCAGTCGATAAATCTGCCCCGTCTTCCATGCCTGTTCCCAACACTAAACTGGAGAGGAGAAGCAGTGTGCCACCGGCCACAAAAAAGAAGGCTCCTCGCCCTCCATTAAAACCAGCACTCTATGCCACTCCTGAGGTGACACCAGTTCCAGATTCACCCTCATCATTCCCTCCTTCTCCCTACATTGTCAATCACAAACGTCGAGGGCCACGCCTTGTCAAGAGTTTTTCTGAGGCCAGCGTATTAAAGCAGAAGATTCCAGATGACGAAAAGGATGATGGTTTACAGAAGACCTCAGACACTGTGGTTGTTAGCTCAGCTGGTGACCTGCAAGTCACTTTCTCACATCCTGAGCCTGTTAAGGAGGAGCGAACTAATGGTTTTCATGACAGTGCACCTAGAAGCATCAACACTGATGACCTTCGCACTGGATGCAGGGAAGCTGGAAGTAGCAGCAGTACAAATGGGTCACTCAAGGAGAGTAATATACCGAAGGTGTTGGCGAATAATTCTGAAAGAGATGTAGAGGGTGAAGACTTCTTTGATCCGCAAGATTCAATGAGTTACACTAGTAATACAGATGGAGAAGATAATACTGGGCCTGAACACTCTCTAAAGACCCCTACTCCTCAAGGGGAGTTTTTTGATGCTTGGGAAGGTAATTGAAATATACTTATTGGCTCCTTTTTTTCCTCCCGTGCAGTTGAACATCTATGTACATGGTCAAGCACTTACATGTGTTTGGATGAGCTGAAATAAGGAATAAGACAATCTCATTCCTTGTGTATTTAAACTGTCTCTACTTTTATCAGAATTTTTGCCCTACAGGAGTTCAGTGAACAAAATAGTGTTATGCTTTTCAATTTCATTGTGTAATACTTGTGTTGATTGGATAGGGGAGGAAGGCAGAGCAGATCGCTAGTTTTGTAAAGAAATTCTTAGTCTGAAAGCCGGTTCACTTGGTTCTTTTCTTGCAGAACTATCTGAAGGCGGGCCTCAGGCTTCTCCATCTCCATATAATGCTGAAGCTGAATTGCGTGAAATGAGGTTGAGTCTGTTGATGGAGATAGAAAAGCGGAAGCAATTTGAAGAATCCCTTAACAGCATTAGAAGTCAATGGGAGAGTGTTAGACAAAGGTTGTCTCATGTAGGCATAGTCCTTCCTGCTGGGATTATATCTGCGGCTGAGGGACAACAGCTGAATTCTGATCCTGTCGGAGATCTGTGTGAACAAGTTAATGTTGCTAGGTTTGTATCAGACGCCATTGGGAGGGGCATTGCCAGGGCTGAGGTGGAGATGGAGATGGAAGCTCAAATAGCTTCTAAGAACTTTGAAATAGCTCGTTTGTTGGAACGTCTCCATTTTTATGAGATGGTGAATCAAGAAATGTCACAGAGGAACCAAGAAGCAGTAGGTAAGATGTGCCCTAGATGGCCTTTCAAGTGGAACCATTGATATACGCTTTAACTTCAACTGAAAATTAGAGTGCATACAAATTGATGCATGCTTTTCTTGCTCTGTTTTAGTAAATTTCTGCACTTGGCATCTCTGTTACGCATACTTTTTCAGGTATTGTGTGATTTGTGAATCCGCTCCTCTCACCTCATAGGAGTTCTACTTTGCATTAAGAAGTTGCTCAAGAATACCAGTATAGGACAGGCTTTATAAGCATCAAGCATTTTTATCGTCTATCATGTCCGGTATCTTGTCATTGGCTGAAAATGTGGGTTTCTGATGTCACACTGATAGAGACCAAATTCCAAAGTAGAAATGGTGCAAAAAATCAGAGCCAATATAGTTATGAAAAATAGAAGTGTGTATCTGAATTGTTAGTAGGTCAGAAGACAAATACTCTGTCTATTTATGTAATACTCACACCCAAGTCTTCCATACTTTTCCCAGCACTTCCTACTCTATTTTATTGGCCCATTGTTAACTTCTAAGGTCCAACCAACTTCCTCCTTGTTGCTCGCATCAGCTGTCACGTAGCCTTGGCCTGCACTAGTTCCGCAATCCAACCCTTTAAACTCCGGCTTTTCCCTTGTGCCAGATCTATTCATTTGAACACTCACCTTACCAAGATTGATCATATCACATTGATAGTCTATCAGGGCTGTATGTCCTTTGGTTGGGATGAAACGATTTGTTTATGATGGAGTAACAACACCAAGGTATGACAGCGATAGATGCCTCAAGGCTGGTCATGGGCTATACGCCCTCTTTTCATGAATTAACAGAGTAAAAGAGAACAAATGGGAAATAATGGAAGAAACCATAAGATTATTTTCCAATTTTGATTATTTAAGATGATTAGCTAAATACTGAGATAATATGCACATATTTGTATGCATGTTTACTTTGTTTCCAGTGTAAGCTTCTGCCGTTTAGACTTGGTTAATTTCTTACTCATACTGGTGTACTTTCAGAGATGGCAAGGCGTGAGAGGCAAAGGAGAAGTCGGAGGCAGAGATGGATTTGGGGCTCTATTACTACTGCTATTGTGCTTGGTGCTGCCACCATAGCGTGGTCTTATATCCCCATGGGAAAATCGTCATCTTCTACGTACCATGATCAGGCTTCTGAGCATGGGGATGCAGCCAAGTAACATACATCCATCAGCACTAACTGTAGCGCCGTTTGATGTTAGGAGAGGAATAAAGAGTATACATGCCACTATGTGGTTGACTTTCGTCAGTTGCAATTTTCCGCATCCGGAGCCTTTGCATCTAGTATGTAAGTAGGGCCTCGCACAGAATATCTAGGTGATAGTGTACTGAAGTGGCTCAGTTGATGTTGAGATATTCTGTAAGTTGTGCATTTCTGCCAGCGAGCTTAGATGTGCTTGCGTAAATGTTTGGTTTTTTTGTTACATTGCTAAGGCATGTTGATGATGGGTCATTTAAGCTCGTGCTCTCGTGAGCATTTTTATACAGCAAAAGAGGATTTAATCAATGAAATAGGAAGGGGGATATAGTCCTTGTGCCTCGATGAGTGGTGGGATGATGCCTACGATTCTTGTGTGTTTCTGTGCTGTCGTGGTCAGCCTCAGTAACGACCATGATCCTTTCGTTCAATTTAGGGTTGCAACAGTGTTGTGCCATGGCTATGCCCTGATTAAGGGAAGCTATATCTACTCTTGTTATGTGCGTTCCGAGCGCCATTTGGGGCACTTTTCGCACTATATTTGGAAACACCAAAAAACAGCATTACAAAAAAATGTGACCATGATCAAGAATTGGGTGTTTTTTCTTTTTTTGGGACTTGGAGAATTATGTTGTCCTATCTATCCATGTTGTATAGAAGTCTAAAACAAAATATAAGTGACGTAATCGTTGTTCGCCCTGACCCAATGCCCGGTCCTTGATAAATCTTGCAGTAGAAGTATTATTGTACTTCTTAGAATGCCAGACTTATTTAGAGCAGTCAAAACGGGCAAGTTTATCGGGTCAGTTTTTTTAAGCCTTTCGAAGTAGTAGGCAGGGCTTGTATTTTAAGAAATTAAAAAAGAAATTAGATTTAAAAGGGCTAGTACTATAAGGCTGAGTATAATTATGTATTAGTTTTTTTATGAATAAATTTGAATTAGAAAAATATTTGGAAGAACTAATACTTAAACCAGATAATTAAAAAGAATAGAAGAACAATTAAAGTTAATTTTTAATTTTCAATTCTTTCAAAAATGGCAGCTCGCATTCTTAGCATTACAATTACCATAGTAGCTAATAAATCTTCTTTTACTATCGGTTTACATATCTTAACAATATATAGAAGTTTTCTTATTCTAACGAATGTTTAGGCTTTCATTTGTGTTCATAACTATTACATAGTTTTACTTTAAATAATAGTGATAAAGACAAAAATCTTAATATTTTTATTATTGAAGAAGAGCTTACTTGTAGTGAAGAACAATTTGATATTGTTGATCTTAATGATAGTGTGATAAAGATGAAGATAAAGATAATAATCATATTGATATTGTTAATCTTTAGCTGCTAGGTTTTTATCCTTTTGTTTTCCTTGTTTCATTAGGTTTTGATTTTTTTTTAATTTTTGACAATGATTTATTAGTATTTAATTTTTTTTCTATACACCATTAGTTTATTAATTTATTTTACTAATATTTATAATTTGAATAATTTTTTAGAATTCTTGTTGTTTTATTTTTTTATTTTAAAATAATTAAAAAATTTAAATTTTAAAAAATAACATAAAAGGATCACTTTTTTAAACCCTGAACCTGCATGTCCAAAGGTCGGTCTTTAATAATTAAATAATTTTAAGATATGTTAGCTTTAAAAACTAAGGGCTTTTAGGCCCTGGTCCTTCAAGAGCTAGTCATTTAGGATTGAGCTGGTCCTTATTGATAGCTCTAAACTTATTTAAATAATTTGATTAAATTGAGAAAGTTTGATAAATTAGTTAATTATAAAAAATATGATGTGTTTTTTTAAAGCATTATAATCATTTTTCTTAAATAAGAATAATTTTAAAAAATTAATAAATATGAAAAAATAGGTTTTAATTAATTTAACATTTAAGTCCTATGTTAACGGGATGAATATATGGACGCCTTGGGACCCGGATATCACTTTAGGGAAACCCGAATCTACTTTTGGGGTCATCGTCGCTACAGGGCTGAGGTTGCTCATGAAGTAGAATAGACTGGCCCAATAAACTGGAATAACCAAATCATTATTTTCTTAACACCATCCTTCTCAGTGGAAAAAATGAAGACCTATGCATAGTATACTCGTATACTCTCATAGACTCCCCATTCATCCGCACTCCAAACGTACGAATAAGTTGCAATGACCGATCAAACCATCACCCATCACTCTCTACGTAGCCCAATGATATTACCATCTTACCCTGTGCTAAGCCGATTGGCAGATGGCCTTCTTCTCCTTCAGGTACGTGTTGGAAATTAGCTGCAGGTATGGAGCCATCTGGAGGATCACATGCTTTCTTGTGGGCTTCAAGGCTTGGCTCAGCGTCTATATTTCATGCAGGCACAGGGTTGCTTTTCTAATTCCTCTCGTTATCAACTGTTTCTGGGCAAAAGCTTCGTCCTTGGTTGACGAGAAATATCAGATAAATGGCATTATAAACCTGTTCAGTATACCGAACCCATCTGATCCTAACTACAGCTATTCTTTTGCTTCTCCTTCTGCTTCTTTTTTCCGACCGTGTGAGATCTAATTCATTGCAGAAATCTCACCAACGAGATTGTTTTGTGGGTCTTGACTGACCTACATGATGTCATAACAGCGTGCGTGGTGGGCCTGGCTGCCCAACCACATTTATGTCCAGTTCATGTCACGCCAACATTGAACTTGCACACAATTCTAAGGAGTGCCATTTTGTTGTGGCTCTAATCGTGACGCTGGGGAGGCATCACTACAGCTAAGTGGAAGCGACCTCTTCTGAGACTAATTCCCATGTGTTTAATGCCCTTTAGCCAGGGGGAGATGGAGGCACGTGTACTCTCCTACCTGGTCCATAAAGTCATGGAAACATGAGTTAGGTGCCTTGTCCTTAGATCGTGGATGAGTCCGACTCCTTTCCTAAAATTCTTTATTACCAAAAAAAAAAAAACATTGAACTTGCACAGCAGAGCTTCTTGCATTGGTGATTTCTTTCTGCCCGGTGAAGCTGCTGAATTTTGTTCTCTCTTCAACAAAAAGGATGGAATTGAGTCTTCCAATGTGAATAATGTCGATAGAATTTATTGTTTATGCGCGGAGAAAGAGGAAGCGAGAAACAGACAGTGGACAAGATGAGGTCGTAAAGTGTCTTAAATCCGCTAATGTCGCCCATTTATTACCTCAATCGTCCCTGATTCCCTACTTTTGACTCCCACGCAACCGATATGTTGCCATCACCACAAACCACTCTGTTTTGGCCACGCGGTGACATCCCATTGAATACTCCTGAAAAAAGAAAAGAATGCACACACAATGGACAGAGGTAATGGTCGGATTACTCACAATTTTATACCGAAAATATGATGGTAGGTCGATTTAACGCATGTTTTGGGATATTATAGCGGGCGAGGAAGCTGAAGAGCAGAGCAGAGGAGATGAACATGGGTGCCGACTTGGGAGCTAACGAGGATGCGCCACGTGGTGGATTGGATGGAGATGGCAAAGCACGAGAACAAGGTTGTAGCTTTATAATGGAGAGGCATCAGATGCCTGATCATGAAATATCAGCGACACCACTCCCATCATTTTCAATGTAATAATGACTCCGCTGCCTATTATTTCCTTCTTCATCATCGTTCCTTGTATTGTATGGATCACGCCCTTATCCCAATTAACGCCTCCTCACAAATTAGCAACTTTGGAAAACTTTATTCTTTTGCAATTGAGGTTAAGTTGATCGCCAGTAAGTGAGTGAACAAAAATCGTGTCTTCGGATTTCATCAAGTTGCGTCTCAGTAACGCATTTGCCCACATTGTCGGTGGCCCGCACTTTTAATTATATATCTGAAAAAGAAGCATTCTTCTTGGGATTAAACTGCGTAATGCACGTCAAGGACTAAAATCTGGGCTAACATAATTCTGGAGGGCTCGACACAGAGCATTGATGATTTAAAGACAGAAACATGGTTTGTTTCTGGTTTTCCATTTAATCAGAGTCACACATGACTCGCGCATTCATTAGTGTTGCTGTCAGGTTACCTGCCTGTCACATTACGACAATTATGTGTCGGTAGAAATATTAACACTATCATTCAAAACCTTTTTCTCTTTCCCTCCCGCTAATTGCCATTAATAACCGCTAATAAATAATAGTAGGTCTCAAACAAAAGTACTCTCAAGATATGCTATCTTTATGCTGTAATTTCAAAATCTATGAGGTTTTTCCCCCGCGTTAGTTAGTGTTCGAAATTTATACTCACTTTGCTTTCGAAGGCTCTCGCAACATAAAGTCAAATTATTAATTTTGAAAGATCTGCAAACCATAATTTTCCAAAATAAAATTATATATTTACGAACTTGTTTTGCAATTTGCATTCTGCAGTGGGAAGAGACAACCTTCAGCCAGAGCTGAGAGCCTTATAAAACCTCTCGCTTCGTTTTTCTCTTATCTCCGTTACTTTTTTTTGGCCTGACTCTTATCTCCATTACAAGCCTATAAATAATAGGAGACACCTCCTTCCAGATTGACTTTGCCAGTGTGCGTGTGTACGTGTATGAGTGTCTGAAGCAGAGAAATGAAGAAAATTTCATTAGCTCTTCTTCTGGCCATTATAATCCATCAGAGCTCTGTCCACGTGCTTGTGGATGCAGGGGATGGCTTCGTCAGAACCAGAGGCACCCATTTTCTGTTGAATGGATACCCTTTCTACGCAAATGGCTTCAATGCGTACTGGCTGATGTACGTAGCCTCAGACCCATCTCAAAGGTTCAAAGTCTCTGCTGCTTTCCGTGAAGCCACCAGTCATGGCCTTACCATCGCAAGAACTTGGGCATTCAGTGATGGAGGTTACAGACCCTTGCAGTATTCGCCTGGTTTCTATAATGAGCAAATGTTCAAGGTACCCCTCAAGGACCTAGAACTAGAAAGGCGAGAAATTTGCGCTCTTTAACACGCAGAATTGCTGATATTTCGTGTATGTGCTTGAAGGGGCTAGATTTCGTTATAGCAGAGGCTAGGAAGCACGGGATCAAGCTTATATTGAGTTTCGTGAACAATTATGAGAGTTTTGGAGGGAAGAAGCAGTATGTGAACTGGGCTAGAAGTAAAGGACAGTACCTAACTTCAGATGATGATTTCTTCAGAAGCCCTGTTGTTAAGGGTTACTACAGGAACCATGTCAAGGTTTGCAGAATGCCTTTTACCTTGCTTGATGCAATATGTGATTATGATTTCCTGTTTGTCCTAAATTCTCCATCTTTCATTTCATCTCTTTCGCTTTTTCTGCAATTTTGAAAATTAAACAAGAGAAGATGATGGGATTTGTGATTCATAAGTTCAGCTGATATCTGATACACCAGATTAGATTATGAAATAGTAGCGATGAGCGACTGTGATTTTTTTGGAGTTTTGTTGGGCATCACAATTTCAAGTTACTGATACAGCCTAAGTCTTTCACAGACTGTTATTAACAGATTAAACAGCTTCACTGGAATTCATTACAAAGACGACCCAACAATCATGGCGTGGGAGCTGATGAATGAGCCCAGATGCACGTCAGATCCTTCTGGAAGGACTATCCAGGTCAAATCAAACAGCTTCAATTAACTGTTGTTGCTCCGCTCTCCTCTCTCTTTTTGTTTTCTGTTTCTTCCTTTTATTTTCCGGAATTTGCGGTTTCATAGATAGTGTGTTATGTTCCCACTGAAGGCGCTTTTTGCAAAGAGAACTTTCAACTCTACCATGTTTTTGAAATTGGCCCATATCTAATCATGCTTTTCATATGGTCTGTACTTATATATATATATATATATGTGTGTGTGTGTGTGTGTGTAAATATAAAGCGGTAATACTCAGTACTGAATGTTATAATTATTGAAAGCGAACTCTTTTTAAAGAGCTGACTCTTGAATCTCAATCATAGGCCTGGATAGCGGAAATGGCTTCGTTTGTGAAGTCCATGGACAGAAAACACTTACTGGAAGCGGGTTTAGAAGGATTTTATGGACAATCAACACCTCAGAGAAAGAGAATGAATCCAGGTTTTGATATAGGGACCGACTTCATTGCAAATAATCGGATCCCTGCCATTGACTTCGCCACAGTTCACTGTTATCCTGACCAATGGTAACTACCCCAAAAAAAAAAAAATTAAAATGCTTGCCAAAATTATTTAATTCAATTCATCTATCGAACTATTTTTAATAGAGTATATATTTTGTTCATTGTATAAACAGGTTAGCCAGCACCAATGATCAATATCAGCTTTCGTTCGTGAATAACTGGCTCGGTGCACACTTCTTAGATGCTCAGTACGCTCTCCGGAAGCCAATTCTTGTAGCAGAATTCGGAAAATCATGGAAAGATGCGGGTTACAACACTTACAAGAGAGATCAGATTTTCAATAGTGTGTACTACAAGATATATGCTTCTGCTAAAAGGGGTGGGCCAGCGGGGGGAGCCATGTTCTGGCAGCTTCTTACCGAAGGTATGGAGTCTTTTCAAGATGGGTATGGGGTAATGCTAGGCCAGAGTTCTTCCACAGCAAATGTTATTGCTCAGCAATCTCACAAGTTATACCAACTTCGGAAGATATTTGCCAGAATGAGGAACATGCACAGATGGAAGAGGGCAAGACCAAAAAGAGGAGTTCCAGGACACAGAGGAAGGCAAATTGGCAACTGAAGTGGCCTGACTGAACCACGTAAACTAATCTTATTTGTGCTTGAGAAATTTTAGTTTTAATGTTTCCTAAACTAGTTTCTCTTTTAGAGATGAATGTCTTTTTTCGTCCAGGAGGACATGCTCTGTCCCCTTTAAGACAGCCTTTAACATTTTGTTTGACAACATTGAGAGTAAATCACTCCAGCTTTGCTTTCATTTAGATCCAGCATCCATTATTCCTTTCTACTTTGAGCAGTGATAAATTAATTATTTAGGTGAAAACCAAACTATAATTTTAAAAACAATTTTATGATATACGAAGTAAATATGTAAAGAAATTTATCTTGATTTGCGAAAAAAATACTTCATAAAATCATCTTTATAATTTGCCAAACACTCCCTAAGTTCCAGCTCTAAGCCCTTGGATCATGCGTTAGGAATCGTGTATAGCGTATGAAACTTGAAATTTCTATTCAATAGTAAAACTAAGTGCCATTTTATAGCAAATTCCGACGAAGTTCCTAGTCGTCACCCCCCCCCTTCCCTCCCTCCCTCTTTTTGGGTTTCGACAGAGCGTCATTTCTAACTCGTGACTATGTTATCACCATCAAGGCAAGACTTGATATGACAGTTCTTAGTCGTCTTTAAGCCAATGGCGAATTACGTAGATTACAAAACCAAAGCAAATTGCAGCAGACCCCAAAAGAACAGCGACTCTAACCCATAGGGAGGATGCAAATGCATCCAACACAAAAGCATTCCATAACCAATACCACAAGACGGAGTCAATGGATCCAATGATGGCACCAACAACCACTTGGCTTGCTGTATGAAGCTGTTGGGATACCCGTAGGTATGACTGCAAGCAGAGGGAGAATGCATTACAGCATGAGCGATTTATCCTTACAAATAATTTTCTATCAAAACAGTAACTTCAAATTTAAAAGATTCATGCGATGGGACCACAAATAAACCTCAAGGCTAAATCATCAATATATGAATGTGATTCAACACTAGATTGCAAGTAGATAATGTTAAATATAAACTATCACTCAAAAATTCAGCAAGTAAGGTGAAAGGACGCTAATTGAACGATGCATGCACAAAGTGTCATGTATATAACTTAGATAAAGTTTAGCTTAAATGTCATTTCAGTGGATAAATCCGTTTATCGTTCTTCGAGAGGATCATTAATTAGGAATTCATGTCAAACTCTGCCAGTATTCCATCTCCTAGCATAACTTATTGTAGGCGAACAAAAGGGGAAAGAAGGGGAAATGGCGCCGATATAGGTTCGGGTAAATGCAACCATGGAAGTTAGGAAGTTATTCGTGTTTATTGACTCATGGGTATGCCGTCAGTATTTTTAATACCCAGATGTAAGTTTTGTGTGTGTGTGTGTGAGCGTGTGCACGTGCATGTGTGAGTGTGTGAGGGTCCTCCAGAGTATGTTTCCGTTATGTTTGTGTCCCGATGCCCTAAACAATACAAGTGCAGGCAATTGTATTGCATTATTCAGGATGAATATGAAGTGAATGTTACGTCTGAATAAGTCGTCAAATTTCAGGTGGTATTTCAGTATGTTATAAACAGGACGCTTAAGCTCACGTGAAACAAATTACTAGAACTACATGCAAACATATATTTGGCCATCTGCATGGTTCATTTGATGCGAAAGGAAACAAAGAACTGACAAGGTCTACATTTCTAACAAGTTATACGGGAATAGCCGGAGAATATGGTACCAATGAACAAGAAAACTACTATTCTCGAAGGACTCAAGCCCGGAAAGCTATCTTTCTTAGAATAAATAGGAAACACTGCATATATATACTTACAAAGTAAGAACCAAGCACCACAGCAAGTCCGCTGATGGTAACGCTAGATCCACTTAACCCCAGCCATTCTATACCTGCAGCATCATTAGTAGAAACATGAGGTTTGTTATGAAGCCAGTACAGGCTTACCACAGATCAAACAAAGAAATTATTTTTCTGACACAACCACTACCTCAAAGCATCTTAATACATGTGATTCTAGAAATAAGTTTCTGGCTGCATTTAAGTGTTCCTAATCAAGCTTTAGTAACCATCTTTCTGGATTCATGGGATTATACATATCTCAAAGCAATAAAGAAACCAAAGGAGCACATCACCTCAACAACCAAACTATCTTCTTCTACAGTTAGCAATAGGAGATTAAACTTTGGAGACGCCAAGACACCCATGAAATATGTATAGTTCCCAAAAGAACTGAGCTAGTATTAATTTTGCTTCCAAGAGAACCTTGAACTCAAAGCATTTAAAACTTTTGCAATAGGAAAAGCATGTACAAAATATGGAAGAAGATACTTCAAGTCCATTAACACCAGTGTTAACTTTATCTTTTATCAGTTGTAAGATAGGCATACAATTATCAGACATTAGGTAATATTTCTCCTTGGAACTGATATAAATATGATGAGTGGGAAAGAGAAATTACTTGACAAAATAGCAAAAGCAACAAAAAAGAAGATGGATTGTCCATGTGTAGATGGCATTCCAGGGTCGGATTTTAGGGTAGAAGGCCGTTCCTGGTTCAGTATTCTTTTGAGTACCACAGAAAACACAGCATTTAAGATAGATCCTGCCGCAAACCATAAGGATTCTGCATCATGCCTCCAGAGAATGAGAGCACCAAAGAAGGCAGATACCATCCACTTGCTCTGCAAGTAAGACACCAGATCCATTAGCCCATTAAGCAATAATTATACCTTAATGCAGAGTTAGCTGAACAATAACCAGAATCAAAGATGGTGATTTGAATAGTGCATGGCAATGGAAGATTTTGAAATAAGGCAACTCAAAAAACCATAAAGTCAACCTTACAAGTCCAAAAGAAAAGAATATCTTGAGTTATGATATGACAGGACGGTAAAATGATAGTTACAGCAGTTCAAACTAGTAGTATTGAGAAGTCGAAGCGCTGCAGAGTCTTTAAAGGGCTCCAAAAAGGGAGTAATTCTGCTTTGATTTTCAATTCCAGGGGAGTAATTCTCCTCAAGTATAATTCTATGCATACAAGTGGAAAGGCTAATGCCCTTAATGTCTGAAACTGGCCAGCCAATTGCTGGCTTGTACTTCTGTATCTGCTCAGCATTTAGATCTATACACACAATGGAGGGAAAATTATTTGAAGAACCTAAGAATGCACATTTTAAATGTGAGGGAAGTTGCTCCAATTCTACGGCACGTGGTGCTTGTCAGAGGGTGGTGTAAGTGGCACGCCCTATCCAAAGTTCCCAAATCTCTCATTGAAGGCTGGTGATACACAGCCTTGACCCTCTGATTCCATAACAGTTTCTACAAGCTCATCCTACGAGGTTTCATCATTTCACCTCAATGCAACGCGTGCCTTGATCAAAAGAATAACTCTGATCTTAAAAAGTTTCCTCCTGCCGCCGTAATGAACATTCACGACTTATGGTAACAACAGTTTGCTTTATCCCTCCCGCTCCATAAATGAATAACGGAACTAATTTAAGTCAGAGCATTTGATATTCACAGTTGTAATAAGAGCATAGTTATAATGATAGCAAACGGTCGCGGCCACGATTGAATGAAAGAAGTTAAGGGTTACGAACCAGTCGATTGAGGATTGGTTCCAGCTCACGAAGCGCAAACTTGCCGAGCCGGGATGGTCCATCAATTAAAGTTTCCTGTTCAAGCACTTGAACGCCTTCATCACTATTTTTATCTCGGATGGCATAATTTTTAATCAATTCATCCATGTTATTTTGGAGCCAGAGCCGGTTTCCCCGAGAAAGGGGCCTCCTCAGAACAAAGCCAGAGAAGAAGGTAGATCTCGAGGCAGAAAAGGCATCAGCAAAGGAAGAACGGTGACAGAATCTTTGCCGAAGCAAGCTGGGAGCGAGACATCTGGAAGAGGGATTGTAACAAAGTGGGGAGGTAGCCACCATGACGGAGGGTCGCGGGAGCAGCGTGGAAAAAACCCCCGAGGCTTCAGGCTATGGTCAGAAGAGTCCAAACGAGTAAAGGATTTGTTGGCGTACACATTGCAATTGTTGTATCCGCGCACCCGCAGCAGCGCGCAACAGTTCTCCTCGAAAATTAGTTACGAAGCGCCATTTTGCGTGACCGGACCCTTCTTTTCGAACCCCTCCTATGCCTAATGCCTGGTAAATTTGCCAGGGGGGCGGGGGAATCTAGAGTCTAATCTAAATCTAAAAGGCACATAATAAGTAAATGATAATGATAACAAATCACGTAATTAGGACTTCTTAGTGTTTTCTTTAGGATATTATAGTAATTTTAACATCACTCTTCCCTGTTGTTTCTCATGTTGTTCACAGAAGGAAGTTTCCGCAGCTCTTCCCTGGTGCATGCATGAACGATGCCAAAGCATTTTACTCTTTTCGACGCTTTTTACAGGAGATTTTTAGAGCTTTTTTTGTTTTTTGTTTTAACTTCTTACAAGATATTTCGTATATTTTTAGAAATATTACTTCTATTCTTTAATATAAAAATTTATTTGATTTTTACTTTATTTCTCAATATAAGATCTAGCTAATTTTATCTTCCTTATGTATTCTTTTTTTTTTTTAAAATAGTTATTGTAATAATTACAGTTCTAGCTAATACACTTGATTTGCAAAGATATTTTAGAAAAAATAATATCTATTTAGTACAAATAACTAACTTAACTAATTTTTTTAATCTACTTAAATTAGTCAATTAACTCCTATATTAAGAATCGGAAGTGATATTAACAACCTTTTTTCTCTCAAAATACCTTTAATTATGTAGGGAAGATAATACTACTTTAATTTAATAAAGTTCTTTTGAGGGAGGGCAATTTTAAAAATGATTAAAAACATGAACATGTTTAATAAGAGAAATCAATTGTAATTAATTTTCTTAATATATGTTAAATTTGTGTAACGCTTATTAATGTTGGACATCTGAACTAAAACGCATTTAAATTTAAATAAACTGAAAATCAGTGAGTTAAAAAATGACGTTCTTTATTGTTCACTGCGCCAGCAGGTTATCCGACCCCCAACTCTTTTTAGACTCACTCCTCTCATTATTGGATGGTGAATAAATAATTTAATTTAATTTTTAATATAATACTTTATTTGATTTTTATTTTGATCATAATTATAAAATCTTAATCTATTTTGTCTCTCATATTAATTTATTTTTTTCAAGATAGTTCTTCTAATAATGATAGTTCTAGCAATACATTTAATTAGCAAGGATATTTTAGGAAAGAAAACACATATTTATTACAGATAACTAACTTAACTTATTTCTTTAATTTCTTCAAATTAGTCAACTAGTTCTTATAATTAGAACCGGAAGTAATACTACTTACGCTCATTAATATTTAGCTGACTAATTTAAATAAATTGAGAAAATTAGTTAAACTAATTATTTGTAATAAATAGACTTTTTTTCTAAAATATCACTGCTAATCAACTGTACTCCTCTGATCCTTAATATATGACATGATTATTAAGTTGATTTTGGTCCTAAATATAATACCTATTTCTTATATTTATCATTTTTTTCTAAATTACCCCTATGAATACTTCCTCAACCATAATCAAGTAGAAAAGGAAGAGGGGATATTAAGGAAAATGATTATGGTATTTTAATAACAACATGTCATATCTGTTATAATTAGTTAACTTATCTAACTTTCTTAGTCTAATCAAATTAGTTAAATAAGTCTTATATTAAGTATCGGAAGAGTATTAATTAGAACAATCATTACTATGGGGATTATCTTGGAAAAAAAGGATAAATATAATAAAAAATATGAATTGAGATTTTATATTTAAGATCAAAATAAACGTAAAAGTAACTCCTATATTATGAACGGGCGGTAACATCAACATTATAAAAGTATACATTTTTACTAGGCCAATAATAATGCAGTCTCTGGTCCTTAATATAAAAGTCAGTTGACTAATTTGAATATATTAAAAAAATTAATTAAGTTAATTATTTATAATAAATAGTTGTTGTATTTTCTAAAACATGATTGCTAATAAAAAGTATTGGCTAGAAGTACCAGAAGTATAAAGACTATTTTTAAAAAAATAGATAAATATAAGAAACAAAATAGATTAATATATTTAGAATTCAAATAAAAATTAAACAAACTTTTATTTTTATATTAAGCGTGGGAGGTACTAATATGCATGTTTTCATATAATAAAACGCGTGTTGCATGTGTTAAAACTTTGCAACGCAGCAAATGGTTGGTGAACATTATTAGTTTTTACGTCCAACGATATCAGTTGCTGTGATGACCCAATTTAGTAAGAGGCGGCCACGCGAAGAGATGAGTTCCGCGTGAGGTTCATTTTTTTTTTCGGCGTCAATTCCCCGTGGACTGTCAAGAAACCACTGGGCTTTAGGAAATCCATACATCCTCTCCTGGGCTCGAAACGTAGATTATGGTTGTCGTCGGTATCAAAAAAAATGAAAAGGAAAGAAAGCAGAAGGAGGGAGGGAAGTGGATCCCCTCCGGTGAGCATTACTACCGTGAGCGTGAATTGAGAGGATCTCAACCATTGATTGCATCCTATGGCTCTTAGTCGTTCACGTTTGATGTGATAAAGGCTGGTAACCCCAGCGGTTTTGAAGGAGGGATGAAATCGCAGTTCATGGAGACTGGACCTTGCGAGATCCACTTGGAAAGGGAGGGACAAAAGGGGGGGGGTGTGGTTGTGATGTTTGGATTATGGCCGTCATTACAATAATGCTTCCCCGACACAACATTATCAAGTTTAGAACTGATCAAGGCATGAGATTACGGGAATATGCCCTCTGCGCTTTTAAAATGGATGATAATCATCAGTGGATGCAAAAGAATAAAAATGTCATCCTTTTGCATAGTTCAAGTGAGACCCCACCCATTAATCCAAAGGAATAATCAAGCGAGATGGTGTTTCAGTCAGTTTCGACATCCCCACTTACTCGCCTCACGCCAGACCCCAATAAAAGGTGGGAGAATGTCCTGATCGTTACTAGTTCGGGTTAAGCAACTTAAACTCGAGTTTGAATATTGAAAGAAACACACCACAGAATAAACGGAAGAATTTTGGAATTAATGGGAACCATTTACAGGGTTTTTCCTTTTTTTTGTGGGGCCCACTGCGGAAGAAAGACACGTCAAGTTTTGGCCATCTTGCCTACAGCCAGGCGTATGATTCCCGGCCCGAGATATGTAGTTGGCAGAAGGCGGTGATGCAATGCGAGGAAAGTCTCCAGAGAGCAAGAGCAAAGGAAGGCTTCCCTTCTGTATGGCCTTTGCAGTACCTAAATTGAATTAGAATTAATTTAAAATAATTTATAAATAGTTTTTTAATCATAATTTAAGAAATACAAAATAAATAAGTAAAAAGAGTTTTTGATTTGTGTAAAATGTATTTATAAATATTTTTAAACGTTGTCCCAGATAAATTCGATTGTTTAGGTCGGGTATTAGGATGCTCACAATAGGAGGCTTTTCCGTCTGGCTTCTTGTTTCTTTTATTCAGTTCATGGGCTTGTGGTCTGGTTTCATGTTACAGGGGAGTATGGTTCGTGAATGAATGGCTGGACAATGGACAGGTAATAAAAGGGGAAGGGAGCAAATTATGGGAAGCGAGCCATGGCGTGTGCATTGGCAGGCCACTCTGATATTGCAGAGTCAACGGTCAACCAGTTTTTGTTGTTAGGTCGATCACTGCCACCCACACGCCTGCGGCCTCTCACCAGTGTATTCACATGCATCGAATAAAATATTTTAATCATTATAAATGTTCGCGAATTAACATTCATGTCTCCAGGCGTACGTCAACAATACTACCACCTCAACTTATTAATATAAAAATTAATTTAATTTTTAATTAATTTTAAATATAATATCCTCTCATATTTATCTTTTTTTTTTTATAAATCACCTTCGATATATTTCATGTAAATCAAACAAAATTTTAAAATTTACAAACTCTCATTTAAAATTTAATAACTTTTTAACTTTATTCCCATTTAATATATATTATGGCCTATCAGAACAAAGTCAATACATTATTAAATGAAAGGTAAAATTGTATATTCATATGAAAATTTTCTTTTTACCTTATAAATATGACCAAAAAATTGCTCCTCTCTCTGCTTTTTAAATGGACTAGAAGAGTATGTTTCTTTTATATATGATCATATTTGATAATGGCGTTAATAACAAAAAAAAAAAAATGATGGTAAGGTGTAACATGATCAAAAAGATGATATTTCCTCTGATACTTAATATATGAGTTAATTTGACTTTTAATTTGGTCCTAAATATAAAATTCTAATTTAATTTATCTCTCATATTTATTCATTTTTTTTAAGATCGCCCTTGTAGTAGTTACACATGTTAAATATTTAATCAAATGACACTTAATTAGTAAGGTTATTTTAAGTAAGACAGCATATATTTATTACAAATAACTAATTTAACTAATTTTCTTGATCTACTCAAATTAGTTAACCAGCTCTCATATTAAGAATCGAATGTAGTATTATAAATTAGTTAATTTTTATAATAAATTTAAGTGTCTTTAATACATGTAAAGTAACTATATAAATATATTATGTTTGAAATACGAGGAGGCCATAAATACTGCCTTCAGTTCTTAATATAAAAGTTAATTTGACTTTTTAACTAGTTTTCAATATAAAACTTCAATTCATTTTATCTCTCGTATTTATTTTTTTTCTAAATTAGTTCTTATAGTAGTCTCACGTGTTAAATATTTCATCAAATGGTAGTTCTAACTGATACATATAATTAGTAAAGGTATTTTAAGAAAAACAAGACATATTTATTATAAATAATTAATTTAGCAAAAAATTCTAATATACTCAAATTAGTTAATTAGTTTTTATATTAAAGACTAAAAATAACATAAAACTTATTTTATAATATAAAATATATTATAAAATAAGTGTTGGGCAAACTACAAAGTGATGAGGCCGTGCAGCGCACGGATGACTTCCTTATTCTTGATAGTATTATCCATTTACCTTCGGCTTTGACCTTCCTCCACAATTTTGGCCTCCCCCACTCCTTCGCTCGTCATCAATGGCACGCATCGAAACTAAATAGAATACGTACTTAAAAAAAAAAAAAAGAGAGTTAATAGAAAGATTAGTTTCAATCCTCAATATAAAATTTTAATTCATTATATTTTAAGTTCATATTTCTTTAATGTAAATGATTAAAAAAATATTTGGGAGACTAATACACATTTTCTATAATTTTTAATCTAGACAAATTAATTATTTAAAATTGGATGGAATCCATTGCATGTAATTGTTGGGCATCGGCCTTTTTTTTCAAATGATAAAACATGCTTTCTCATTGTCAAAAACTGTCTACCGTCCATCAAAGAAATTGATTTTCTTCAAGCTGTTGAAAAATGTAAAACTCTTCCAACTAAATTTATTCCATGCATAGGACAATGAGAGCCAATAATTAAATCCTCAGCCACTCATTTTAAGAAACTTAATTGATGAGAGCCTCGACTATTTACATCAACAAAAACATCCTATTAATTAAAGAATGTCATTCCCAGATATTCTTATTTTCTCCGGGGAAGGCATTAATTTTATGCTACTTTCCGGCAATTAGGAGTGAAGCAACATTACTTTTACACTTTTCTTCGTCTCAAAATTTAGGGAAGATTTTGTTTAAAGACCATAATACAGAATTGATTTTAAAGAGCCTCCAAAACTTTCTGAAACTTTATTACAGGACTAAGAGGGTAAAGTAATATTAATTCCACAAAAAAAAATGACACTATTGCCCCTCATGTAAACAAGTGCGAGAACCTATTTGTAAGTGAGATTAGACAATTTACAACATACATACATATATTTACTACTAGAATTAGTCTTTTATATGTCACCTCCTTCACCCAGAGAAGGTGTCCGTGACTAAACAAGTGTGGGACCCATTTACAAGTGGGACTAGATAATTTGCAACATATATATTTATTTATAACTGAAATTAGTTTGTTTATATATCACCTCATTCACCTGAAGAAGATGTCCATGAGTGAACAAATATGAGAGAGCCCATTTGCAAATAGGACTAGACAATTTATAACATACATACTTTTATTTATAATTAGAATTAGCCCATTTATATGTTATCCCATAATAAGTATTATGAAAGGTAATGGCATTATTTTTTTGTGTAGAATTAATACCATTTTGCTCCTTTAGTCTTACAATAAAATTTGAGAAGGTTTTAAGAGCTCTTTAAAATTAATTCTGTGTTCTTAAACGAAATCTTCCCAACATAATTTGAAAGAGAAATCGTGGTGGCCGAGGTGGAGGCGAATGGCTGTATATAAACCCAACATATAGGCGCGGAAACGGTCAGTCAACAATTATGTTGCAGACTTGCCACTAAACTCAGAAACACACACAAGCAACCCCCATCTCTTCCCCTGCCCTTCTCTCCTCTTCCTCCCCAACTTCTATTTCTACTAGTTCACTCTCTCTCGCCTCTTCCATCCTTTACCCTCTTCCCTTTCTCCTCAACTTGTCTGCTCCCATTCAAAAGCTCTCACTCTATCTACCCATGGACACAGTATTTCACTTCTTCCACAACCTTCAAACCGAGAAAGCCCTCTCCATGCGCTTCTCCACCCTCTTTACCGGCGTTGCCAAGACGCTTCGCCTTCTCCAGCTATGCGCCTCTCTGCTTCTCCTCTGTTGGATCCTCTCTCGTCTCTCTTCCGCCCTCCAAATCTCCCGCCTCTACTTCCACAGCCTCGCCGCCCTCATCGCCAGTCCTCTCTTCGTTTTCTTCATTTCCAACGCCATCATCGCCACTCTGTTCGCCAATTCCCGACGAATAATCGGCCACAACTCCGGCGCTCGCAATGCGGAGATGGAACTCTTCCGCGAGTTCGCCAAGCGGAACGCTGATCATGCTGAGTTACCATCCGAAGTCGATACTGACCAGTCGCGCGTGGCTGAGCAGATAGATTGCCAGGACAAGCAGATTGTCTCTGACGACACCACTGCTCGTACATTTAGGGATCGGGTTGAATTTGACACGCGCACGGATACCGATTCAGTCGCAGAACTAGAATCTGACTGTCCGAAAGTTTATCGGCGAAGTCAGTCGGAGAACTCGACGGGAGCCTCCAGGAAAGAGGTAACGCGGAATCTCCGGCGATCAGAGACCGAGAAATGCCGAGAAATGGCGAGGCACTGCGAAAATCCGCTGGAAAATTTGTACTCGCATGATAAGCTGAGCAACGAGGAGTTTCAGCGCACAATAGAGGCGTTCATTGCGAAGCAGATGAGGTTCCTGCGAGAAGAATCGCTAGCCATCGTCGTTCGGAAACAGAGTTGAAGCAGCTAGTAAAATAGTGGGTAGAACTAGTAACAGTTAACGACAACGGAAATTGCGTTCTGAATCCCCCCTCCCCTCCTCCCCCAAAGGGGAAAAAAAAAAATCTAAAAATGGCACTGCATGCCGTATACAGTGTTAACTTCTAGATCTAGATATCAATATTAAATAACAAAAATGTCAGTGATCTTGTACGATTCTTCTGTTTGCAAAACGATATACTCAATCGTCTGCCTCAAGCTACCGTGTTCACCATCGCTAATAGATTTTATATATAACAGATAGATCATCTATACAGAAATATGTCGTGCTGTTTTTGCCTCAAGGACTTCACTTCCATTATATTTGCTTAAGAAATATTAATGGGTAACGACATGTTAATAGTATTAATTATAACTGCTCGTTTCTGTGAGGGATGTGTTGCAACCGTTCGGGTGAAAAACATGATCACTGTGATTGGGGACCTGTTAATGATCTTATGCCATAAACGCTTTTTGGTAAATAGATTTCAGTCCGTTAGCATCTGGCGTCTAATTTTTTTACCAAAAAAAAAACTTAGGGGTCTGGAAAAAAAATTGGTATATTTTGGGTTGTAAAAAGAGAAGAAAACAAAAGTGGAAACTTGTTTCCCTGGTAGATTATACGCAGAAAGACGAGGGACGGCATTGTATTCGATTCCCAAATAGACTCGAATGGCTGCTCTTCTGTTAGATTTGATCCAAGCAGCATCAGAATAGCATAACGCCAACATCCATGTGCGATTCCATCAGATTAGTATTTCCAATATGCATTTTAAAGACGTATTTGAATGACTGGTTCAATGTAACAGGGGCCCCCTTCATAGTTAAGCTATGGCAGCGGGTAGATTTAGATCAAGAGTTAGCTACTCTTGCCTTTAGGTTGTAGGTGAGTTCAATCATTTTCCTAAATTTTGATGAAGAAAAAATTCCTGCACTATATATATATTTTTTGACCTAGGTTCTCGCTCTATATTAGAACCCACATCTTTTCAAGAAGTGATCGTATCCTAATTGCAAATATGAAATACTATTACTAACTAGCATGGGGTGTTTTTTCTGAAAGAATTACAATGAGATAAAAAAAAAATTGAAAAACAAGTATTAAAAATTGTCATTCTTTATTATAGAATTTGTCATTATAGGTTATCGAGATTGTTATTAGAACATTTTGATAATTATTTTTTTTGTGGGACTTGATTGTAATTTTTTTTTTGGACCAACAAGCCTAATATAGTCACTGCACATGTGATTCTTATCATTAAACTCCTTTCTTAAAATCCTTGTGATGTTAAATTAGTTAAGTTTATGTTTCACCAGCTTATAAAAATAAATAAATTTATAATAAATTATTATATGATATTTATAAAAATATGAATATTATTTATTTTAGGCTCTGCATACTGCTCGAGAAAAGCATTAACATAGCAAAGAAAAAAAAAGCCTTTGAGGTTTGAACGTCGAAGGATGCGCTTGGATAAGAAGTACAGACTTTCGATGCCGTATTGAAGACTCATGTACTCGAAGTCACAGATGACGGAGAACCGCACGCTCGGTTCTTCAGATATTTGAGCCACTCGCTTTCCTCTCAAGTCTCTGCTATCAATTTCTGAATTATTGCCATCCTTTTTTTTTTTTCCTTGTGCCACTATGCTTTTCTTATTTGAACGAATTTCAAACTTGGCTTTCCCGGAAAACCTGAAAAGCATGGTCCCATCAATTTCTTCTCCCAATACTGTAATTAATTGTCTCGTCAATCAAATCAAATCTCCTCACATGCCATCGTTCCTCTCGACTTCTTAATTAAAGGTTCTTCCGCTGTCCTCCATACTGATACTGCATCAGTAATTAACAACAATCATTCCAAAACTATGCGAGGATCATCTTCGTGGAAAAGAGAGAGTACTAGTACGAGTTTTAACCTTTGTCGTACTACCCTTTTTTTCATTATCTGCCGAGAGATTAATTAGAATCTACTCTGGTTTATTGCATAGCCAGACAAGCCGGCTTAACTTTCTTTCAAAAGGGGTAGGCTGGTAGTACCTCTCTATCTCTCCCTGCCCCTGGCCCTCACATTGAAGTTGGAAACGCTCATGATTCCTTCCTTGCACAAAAATTAACTGACGGGGTCATTGGGTTTAGGCAGTTTCCGTATGGGATTAAGGGGGTGTTTGGCAACAGAAAAAAATGCTTATCAGAAGCACTTTTCTGCAAAACGAGGCAAACTCCTTCACATATTTATTTCGTAAACCATAAAAGCACTTCTGAAACCATGGTTTGGTTTCCATCCAAACACCCCCTAAGATACTGTTTGGATAACAACTAAATTATAGTTTTAAAATTCATTTTATAAGATACAAAATAAATAAATAATAAGAGTCTTGTTTTGACTTATTTTAAAAAATATTTTTATTGTAAATCAAATACCTTTAAGATTAAAGGTCCATTTAGAACAACTTATAAATAGCTTATAAGTAGCTTTTTAATAATAATTTACAGAATATGAGACAAGCATATAAGAAGGGTTTTGCCTCAATTTATATAAAACGTATTTATAGAAAATTTCTAGCATGATCTCAAACAAGCACTAAAAAAAGCGAGATTAAAAGGCAATGCTTGCTTTCATTAAAGTTCATCACGCAACAGGATACAGACAATACCAATAAAGATAAGAAGGAAAGGCAGGTTGAAAGCTGGTGGATGAAAGGTCACCCACATAGCACACACGGCGTTGCCCACAAATTATTTTTGGTGGAATCGCGCGTGTTAGTGGAGGGAAGATGCCAAACGGACGGACCATTGCTTTATTGAAGGCAGAAACAAAAAGCAAACACACTTCAATCCCACCTCAAAGAAATTATCTTAGCACCTTCTGTTCCTCTTATCTATTTGGTGTTGGTAAACCCAACGTAACCTCTCTTGGTTACTCCCAAAAGCTGGGACCCTTCTATTATTGTTCCCAGCAGAACGTTAAATATTCTCAGAGTCTTGCTCGAGATTTGTTCGTTTCTGTGAAACGGGGAGCTGTCCAACTTTGAGAAGAATAATTGAAATTGAAAGCCTAATATTTGTTGCCGCTGTCTTCTTCAAGAACCAGTTCTACTTATAAAGCATCCCTCTGGCCTGGGATGCTCCATAAATCCAGAAGCCACTTGGTAATTAAACCACCTCAAATTGCCAAGGTTTCGGGATTCATACGACAACGAAAAGTGTGCCCCAAATTTTAGATTCTCAATGGACAAGCAAAAGAAGGGAGGTTTTTCCACGTTCAGTGAGCATGGCAAAAAGGTTCCCCTGTGGCAGAACAGAGTTTGCAAAACAGATGAAAGTAGCCAAGACTGCGACCTATTCAATGTTTATCATTTTGAAGCCGCAAGCCAAGAACCCTTGTACCCAAAATTGAAGGTATTTTGCCCTTTCGAAACTGGCACTCGTTATACCTCCGTGAGCCAGGGAGAGCAGGGAAGGAAAAATGCTGGTTTTATTGAACTGCTCGTATCGCAGAGCATTCAGACGTGAAAAGCTCTGGAAAATTAGTGTCTTTAGTGAGAAGCAGATTTCGAGGCTCTGACTCTCTGAGTCCCAAAGTTTTCTTTCTAGTGGAAAAAAATGGTCAAATACAATGGAGCAATGAAAAGAAGAGCGAGATCTGGGGAGGGGCACGGGTCAAAGAGGGAAAAGGACAGGAGAAGCAAGCGTGGGGAACGCGGAAACGGGGGATGGATGTTTGGAACAAGAGAATAACGTTGGGCTCGGAAACATGGGGTTGTATCGTCATCCGCGCATTTATAAGTGGGTAATAGCCCAGCCCATACATCTAAGGTCCGAAACGGCCGTTGTCTGATCAGTGGCTTAAGCACACAAGCTTTGCTTTCTAGCGAAAAAGAGTTAGTTGCCCCACACTGTAACAAACTAATATTCAAATTTCTGTTAAAAAAATATCTACATTTAATGTTTAATAATGTCTGAAACAGAATTGTAAGGATACTTCTAACTATCAAAAGAAAAAGTTTTGCTTTCTCTTTTCCTGATCCCAATTAATCGGTTTCGTATTCTCGCTCCAAGGACTAACGGAACTAAAACCTTCGTTTTTTAAACACCAGCTTCGAACTTAAAAATAACAGGTGACGTTACTATTAGGATAACTAATTCTTAAACTTATCTCTCTGTCTTGAAGGACGCTGAATGGAAGGCGGTAATCAGTAATTGCCGATTAATATTATTGAACTCTGGATTTTTTTGGCCTGATATTGAACTCTCAGTTCACTGCATCTCTTGTTCTCTCTCTCTCTCTCTCAGTTTTTGCTTTCAACTCCAATCGAATACTGTATTGGACATTGTTTCAGAGATTCCGACCGAGTTCGGCCTTCCCACTTTGGACTTCCAATTTTTTTACCCCCCCGCCTGAGCATAGCAATAGAATATAATGCTGTGGTCATCATCCACCCAGAATAAAATAATTAGTCAGAAAAATAAACATTAAAATAAACCTGCTTATTGTAATTGTTCTTAAATATAGGTCAATTCTTTCAAATATTTTACTTAGGTGGTTAAATTAGGGATAAGCCCCATCACTAAAGTGTTCGGAATTTTATTGAAAACATTCGTAAGATAGGTGTGAGTATCTTGGCTTCTGTCATCTAATTTAAATACTCACTTTTATATAGGTATTAAACTGTATTTTACCCGAGTTTTTGTTGAGTTTGTTTCCATAGATAAGTAGGGTACATTGTAATTGCAAGATAAAGAGACTCGGACCGCACTATATTAATTACTGAGCTGGTCTTTCGTTCCTTAAATTTGGGTATTATTTAAAAAATGTGATATGACATTAGAAAAAATGAATTAAATTTCAACATAAACTCAAATTGAAATTTATAAAATAAGCCACACTTTTTTTCAAAAAATAAATTATTTTAAAACATTATGTTTATTGTTCTTTTTCAAACTAATTTACTTAATTTGTACACTGATATATAATCTAACTATAGATATAGATATTTTAAAAATAATTAAATAATTTTTTAGCTTTTTTAATTTTTTTCAAATACCAAATCTTATATTAAGAACTAAACCTACTTTGAACGACATGGGAAACTGTGGAATTAAAGTGGAGAGACACAAATATTTGAAACAAGAGTGCAAAAGTGATGGACGTAAAAATGGTGCGGGAACGTATCATAGCTTGCGGAGAACAAGAACAAAAGTGAGGGGCTGGATATGGTGGTGGTGGTGGATGGCGAATTGTTGATCCAGGAGAGAGGCGTAGGTGTCGAACAAAGATTCGAGGGGGACTGAGTCTCCGAAGTGGTTGGTCATGATTGATTCTTGGATGGCCCTCACCGCCATCGCCACCCTCTTCCCGTAGCTGATTCCGCCTTCTGTCTCTGCCCTGTCACCACTCTCCGATGCAGAAACGACGAGCCTCTCCACCTCAAACGACCCCTCCCTCCTCACACCCTCCTCTATCTCCTCCCTCGACGCTGCGTAGAATGGCACTTCGTATGAATCCACCTTCTCTTCCTCCACTTCTCCCTGGATAGTTTTTTTTAATAAAATATTTAAACTTAAATCGTCTAAATAGAACGATCCAAATGTTAAAGGAAGCCATGTACCTTGGACACCAAAATGGCGAAGGAACGAGCAAGAATTTCCCACAAGAAAGAATCGCCTCGGTCAACGTGTTCTGGTCCTCTTCTTCCCAGAAATATCAGCACCATTCTCCCCCCGGCGACCACCTCTGCCGATCTCGCTCTAAGAAACTTCCAGAAATCTTCTCGGAATTGCTTATAATATGCCCTCGCCACTTCTTCAGGACTTGATCCACAAATGTAGATGCAACCCTTGTTTATTGACTTCCCTTCCTCGTCGTACAGTTCTGGAGGAACCTGCATATCATCATCACTCGTCAGCATTAGCTACGTTCTTCGTTACATGTGCCCACTGAGCTACAACATATATAGGACGTGTGACTCACCCTGGAAAGCCAGTGAAGACTGTAGGAGGAGTGCACAAAGTGCAAGGAACTGTTTGGGAAAAGTCTTCCATAAAAAGAGCCAGGGTAAGCTCCCATGAAGATGGAAGGAGAAGATCCAGGTTCTGTTTCGGGCCAGAGCGACATCAGGAAATCTGGCAGCGCCCTAAAGATTGAGTTGAAGTCGTTGGTGGGAAGATCGTTGAGGTAGACCCTTAACTCAGAGGCTGGTTGGTGAATCTTCTGGCTTATCTTTTGGATGGATTCAAAGATGTCTCTGATGATGGAGAGTGTGTTAGGTCCGCTGGAACATCCCAAATCCGCAATGCCCAAGCTCTTGGGGGTGCTTGCAAGGTACAGCTCCTCCACCGTCTCTATTATAATGTGTTTCACCCTATCACTTCCTTTCTTCTGCAGTAGGTACCAGTGTTATTTTCATAATTAAACCAACAGAAAAAAGAATGTCTAGCTCGAAATGACAAAAGTTTGGAGAAGAGAAAGAAGACATAGTACCTGCAGAGAGGAGTTTTTGGCGTAGCTTGTGCTACCAATTCCTCCAGTCATGTGAAACACTTTCTGTACATCCATCTTGAACCGAGCTAGCTATAGTATCACTTGATTTCTTGAGGCTTTTTCGTCCGCTTTTAAATTTGGATGAATCCTTTCTTTCTATATGCTTCGCTTTCTGCTCTTTCATTGGATATATATATATATTAGTGGCACGAGCTATAATCATTATTCTACAGATTCTCCACCAGTGACAAGTGCAGCAGGCCTCACTGTTACAAAGCACATCCCTAAATTGACAAGGCCAAGTCTGGGTTGCTTTTTGTAGTTGTCCAAATATAATTGAAGTTACATAAAAAAGGTTAGACTTAAGTGGTATGGCGTGGGCAAAACAGCAATGCGGTTATGATTGAGTAGAGGGAGTGGACCAACTTGTGAGGGAACCAGTCAGAACAGCAAGCTTTGAGTCTATCAAATCATCAGTGTTCGTATCCGCATGATAATTTGATCCCTTTAACTTGATTTATGAAAGTCTAAAGACACCATTGGGAGAGGACACGTGTAGGCCAAGGGGTGTGAGTGTTGATGATGATGACCCAATCACTGTGCATAGTGGCCGCTGCTACCAATAGTGCCATGAAAACGACACATTTCCTTTGTACCTCCGGCTGTGGCAGAATTGATTGCAATCATTCAGGGGCTTAATCTTTGCTGGACTAGAGGATATAGGAACATTGTCGTATACTCAGATAGTATTGAAGCTTTAGACTTTTGCAATAGGGGTACTGATTGTAATTATCCTTTTCGTGACCTAGTTGATGAAGTTTGGAAAATCATTCGCAGAGAATGACAGGTCTTAGGGAGTGTTTGGCAACCACAAAAAGTGATTTTTAGAAGCACTTTTCTACAAAACGAGACAAACTCTTTCACATATTTATTTCATAAACCGTAAAAATACTTCTGAAACTATGGTTTGGTTTCCATCCAAACACCCTCTTATTGATGTATAGTCCTAGAGAAAACCTTGCTACTGCTGATTATCTCGCTAGAGTTTCCCATTTTATGGAAGTTAATTTTTGTATCTTTAATAAATCTCTACCTTAACTTGAAAGGGTAGATCTTGATGAAGAAAGTTAGTCTTTGTAATACTTTGATCCGTTGAACAGCAAGTTATCTGGTTCTTACTCAAAAAAAAAACGACACATTTCATACAGTCAGGTGCATGAACCCGCAAACGTACGGGACCATACATAATTTTGCCCTCGCCTCTGCACGATTAAGCTGGTTAGCATTTACTCACTTCTGCTTCGCGTATTAATTAGTTACTACACTAGTTTTGCAAATGGAATAAGAAACTAGCATAGGGTTTCCATAAATAACTAAATATAATTAAGTTCTCAACCAATACAAGAGAGAAGAAAGAGAGAAAACAGTAAACAAGTCCTTATGTGCTGGTGCCTGGGGGTTGTGGCGCTAGACGTCACAAGTAATTCATCAGTAAATGCTAGTCGAGTAGTAAAATGTAATGATATAGCTTCAAGGGAAATTAAACAGACTGTATTGCTGCACACATACTCGCAAAAATTCAAAAGAATTGTATTTGAATTCGCCTAATTGTGAAGTATTATTGGAGTCGAAGAGTTCGTAGAAAAGCTAATTACTAGCATTCCCGTCACTCGTGTTCTAGAGAAGGGGCCATCGAAAATTTTATAGATATACTTATTTAGATAATGTTAGCTTGATATTTTGACAATGATGCTGGTAGGGAGTGCACAAAAGGAGTATGAGGAGGTACTAGAAAGGAAAAAAGAAACGATAAAAAAAGAAGGAGGGAGAGGGGCCAAAAACCACAAGGCAGCAAATGGCAGCACTTTTGTCAATGTCTGTAAAGCTTTATCTTCTTCCAATATAGTGCGTCTGGCACTCACATGTTAGGGACCAGAGAGATGTGTTAATGATAATAACAGTTGAGTATGAACTGGGACTCTCCAAGACTGATAAAGAGAAAAGAGACCCCCCCCTTCCCACCATTGATACGGTTGGAACAGGTCTGGCAAGCAAGCGTGATTACTTTTAGGAGTAGGCCTGCAAATGCGTATGGTGGAGGGGCATCAGTAAGGGTTAATATATGAACTTTGCGTATTGCAGTGAAACTTGTTTGATGAGTCACTACTTAGTAAAGATTGGTTTTACTGTGGGAAGTTGACATTTTCAGTGCTAAGGTGGTTTAAGAAAACCATGATGTGCTGAACTCAAGCATGTACGGGAGTGGTTTTGTTAATGTTATGCTATACCAAAGAGTATGGTCCACTGACTAGCAGTTGACAAATATGAGTTTTGACGCAAAACAGTTAGTTATCTTGCTAGTGTTCAGCTTTTTATCTAATCAATCCGCTATGAGACTAAAGAAAAGCATCATGACCACAAGAATTTGCCAAGGGCTTTTAAAGCGTTAAAGCCGAGTTTGATAAGGAAAGAAAATGACTGATTTAGGATGGCTTCAAATATGAGCGTACATTGTAAGCCTTATCTACACATCACACTCGATCTATATATCAACTATACATCAAGTAAAAAGATATGTTTTTGTTAAAGATTTAAAAAAAGTAAGAAGCAAGTGAGTTGACAATGAGGAGAAGGAAGGATTAGGCAGGCGCACTTGGATGTGGAAAGTGAAAGGGATTAGACACTTAATGTGTGAAAGTGAAGGGGTAAGCAGAAAGCACGCAAGTTGATGTTTAGCCCCTACTTCGTCTCCCCCTCTCCGTCCTCCATCTTTCGCTTCTCTACCACTCCACGGGATGTGCCCATTTTAAGTGTAGGAACATTCCAGAGACTTTCACAAAGTGATTCTTGAACTAAAACTTGTTGGATTAAACTCCTCTTTTTAGGCTTATTCTCGCATCATGAATTATTATATATACTCTTGGACTTTGTAAGACTTTTCCCTCGACATGCCTACACAAAGTATTTTATCAATGAATTTTTTTCCCAATTTAAACACAACAAATACTTTATTCTTGTTTAGAGTATGAAAAAAATTATTGTTTCACTCAAGATTTATATGCTTACATGCATAAATCATATACTTATCGTGTTATTATTGAAAAATCAAACACCTGTGTCTTAGTTAGTCAGCTTGTTAAAAAAATTTAAATAACTAAATAATATAAGTTCCATATTTTGATTATTCAGGAAGCCCTTGATTTAAAATTATACCTGCTCCCTGAGATATATCTATATATATGTATATATCTATATAACTATATAAAGAACTTATGGAGAATTACAATCAAGTCTCAAGAAAAAAAAAATTACTAAAAAGTCCCAATAACAATCTAAATAGCATGTAATGACAAGTTTTAGAGTGAAGAATGACAATCTTTGAAACTTATTTTGTAATTTTTTTCCTTCCTGGGAATTTCATTGTAATTCTCTCGAGAACTTATGATTATATCTAGGGAGAATTACAATGAGATTTTAGAGAAAGAAAATATTTACAAAACAAGTATCAAAAGTTGTTATTTATACTTCAAAACTTATCATTATACATTGCTTATATTATTATTGAGGTTTTTTAGTAATTATTTTCCTTTCTTAGAATTTTATTGTAAATCTTCCTTATATATAGTGTGATGGGCGGCTCTGTCTAATCTGTTTTTGGGTATAAGCCTTCTAATTTTGTAATCTTTGTTTTCGGCCTTGAGTTTTTTAGGGTTTGTTTGGTTTCTTATTTTGAAAACAATTTTTTGTTTTTAAAAACAGAAAAATAAAAAAACTTGTTTGGCAATCTGTTTTTAGTTAATTGTTTTAAAAAACAAAAAAACAATAATATGTTTTTAAAAAATGAAAAACCAAAACAACCTTTACATGTTTTTTTGTTTTTGTTTTTGTGTTTTTTATTTTGAGAAATTGAAGAAATCTTTTTCTTTTTTCCTCTACTACCTACTACTTATCACTACTGGTGATAATTGCCACTTGTCAAAGTGTAATTTTTTATATTTTTTTTTCAAATGTGATTTTTTAAAAATTATTTTCCAAACAAAGTTTTTTGTTTTTTGTTTTCAAAACTTGTTCTTAAAAACAATTGAGAATAAGAAAACAAAGAACAAAAACAAACAGGCCCTTAATCTTTTATTGGAGCTTGATCCAACAATTTATCGCGCTGGCTCAAGATTCTTCGTTCTCGATACCCCCTGTACTGGTATAGCCCAATATTCCTTGTTCAGAAGGAGCAAGAACGAATCCTGTAGGCCCATACTACTTTTGGGCCAAAGAGGCCCATACCAACAGAGTTAAAGGGAAATCCCTATCTGTCCTTCAGGCTAGATATATAAGAACACCCCTTAGATAAAGATAATTTAATCAAATTAAATAACATGTCTCAAATATAATATCCCGAGCACTGTGCATTAATGTTTTCAGACACAACTTGAATGAAATGGGATGATGCCGTCAGTCCTACCCAAAAGGATGCTACTACCTCCAATCCTTAATATAAAATCTTGTTTAATTTTTGTTTTGATTTTAAATATAATACTCTGATTCACTTTGTCTCTTATATTTATGTATTTTTTCCTAATATAGTCATTTTAACAATGATGGTTCTAGTAAATATACTTAATTAATAAAAATATTTTAAGAAAAATAATACTCAATTAATCCCGAGTAATTATTTATTACAAATAACTAATATAATTTTTTTAATCTCTTTATATTAGTCAACTAATTTTTATAATTAGAATATGAAGTAATACTTGGAAAAGAGTTAAAATCAAGAGCCCACCAGCTCTCAAGGTCAAACCCTCATCTCCCGTCGTTGGAAAAAAACAAAGAAAACAAAACAGATGGATGGTGGGAGATGGTGCCAGCTTAACTAGTAACAACCACGTGGCACGAGTTCAGATCACAGGATCCGCATAAATTACAATCGCAGTGGTTGCCCCAGATGTGCCCAACTGCTCATGCATAGTACTGTGAAGTGTGATGTGAGCTAGGAAGCACATCTTTCTCTTCGCACTCATCCCACTTCGTTTTTCTCCCACCTCCACCCGCCCCCCTTCCCGATCTCTAAAATGGCGGACCCCAAATACATTTTTGCAGTATTATGCATTGGGACTCTCGACACCAAACTCCAGGAGCTCCGTTTCCTCTCTCATTCAGTTCGCTCCAATCTCAATCACTTCTCCAACCATTCTTCTGTCAAGGTACTTAGCTACTATCTTGCTGTCTGAGTGAAAATTCTACTCCCTGCAACTGTCTTTGTTCGATGATGCGAGAATACAAAAATCAGTGAATTTCAAATTTTATTCAGTTAATTGATTGTGCGCGCGAAATTATCGAACATAAAATGCATTTGTCATCTTTGCGTGTACCAGATGTTGCTCAAGCTGAAAACATGTTTACGTTCCACTCAAATTAGAACAACTTGCTAAATTCTCCTTGGAAAATTTATTATGCGACTTGACTTGTTTATATATGTTAGAAGCAGTTGTTAACCTTTTGTTCGTGGAATTACAGGTAGACGTGGTGGTGGTTGATGTGTCTGCTGGTCCAAACGAGGCAGACAGTTTAGATGATTTTTCTTTTGTTTGCAGAAAAGATGTTCTCTCTTGCTATGGGGGATCAAATGGGCAGGCTCCAACATTGCTTCCGGATGACAGAGGCAGAGCTGTTGCAATAATGAGTCAAGCGCTTCAACAGTTCTTAAAGAAATGGCATCCATATCTTGCTGGAGTTATTGGTATAGGGGGCAGTGGGGGGACTTCTCTAATGTCGTCCCCCTTCAGATCCCTTCCACTTGGTATACCTAAGATTCTTGTATCGACGGTAGCAAGTGGTCAAACTGAACCTTACATTGGAACATCAGACTTAGTGTTGTTCCCATCAATTGTGGACATTGCCGGTATTAACAGCGTCGGTAGGGTCATCTTATCTAATGCAGCTGCTGCTTTTGCCGGCATGGTTAGAGGAAGGATTCAGAGCCTCAAAGATTCTCGTGTCCAAGATAAACCTACAGTTGGTATAACTATGTTTGGAGTTACCACTTCTTGTGTCAATGCTGTCAAAGATAGATTGCGCAATGAAGGCTATGAGACATTGATCTTCCATGCAACCGGAGTTGGCGGCAGGGCCATGGAGAACTTAGTTAGAGAAGGATTTATACAGGTATTTGGAAGCCCCCCGCGGCACCCCCCCCCCCCCAGGGGTGTGTCCTTACCTATCTATCAACTTTTTCAAAGAAGTGGAGTTTTTCTTGTTTAGAAGATCAACATAAGAAAATTCCTCAGTGAATTTGAAAACGAGTTTGCTGTTAATGCTTACATCACCTTTATGATAAACCAATCTCTAATTGACATGCTTGTTACTTAGTACTGGGAGGAGATGTCTTATATTTATGTAGAACCTTCAAGGCTAAACTCTGAAGCCTCACATCTTTTGGAATATTACGTACAGAGGGACATTGTGATTCATCAGATGAATTATGATAACCTTTTGGAATTACTAATGTTACCTTGATTTTAGATTCTTTTTATGTTTTCCTGCCTCTATCTGAACTTTTTCATGCATAGCCTTTTCTTTCATCTTTTCTTAGGGTGTTCTGGATGTCACTACAACAGAGGTAGCGGACTATATAGTTGGAGGTGTCATGGCTTGTGATAATTCACGCTTCAATGCTATCATAGAGAAGAAAGTCCCTTTAGTCCTTAGCGTGGGAGCATTAGACATGGTGAACTTTGGAGCCAAAGATACCATACCTCACCAATTTCAGCAGAGAAATACTTACGAACATAATAACCAGGTCATAAATCGGCTTGTATATTCTTTATTAGTTTCTGTACGAATGCGGAATAACTGTCATATTTTGCCTGGGCCGTTGTTTTAGTTTGATATTGATATTGCTGCAGATGATTTTGTCAGTCTTTTTATGCAAATGGAAATTAGCCTCCTCTCTACACTTTCTTATAGAGAGCAAAAGCCTCGTAGTTTCATCCGTGTTTTTTCCGTCTTGCAAATGCATGTTATCATCTGCTTGAATTAGAGATGTCTGATGCAATTTGACGACCGTGATAGTTTTGTGTCTGAGGTAACATTATAGATAATTATTATCTTTCCAGGTTTCGCTCATGCGAACAACAGTAGAGGAGAACAAAAAATTTGCTGATTTCATAGCAAATAAACTGAACAAATCATCATCTAAGATATGTGTTTGTCTTCCAGAAAAGGGTGTATCTGCTTTAGATGCACCAGGAAAGCCTTTTTATGATCCAGAAGCAACAAGTGCTCTTATTCATGAATTAAAAAGTCTAATTCAGACAAATGATGATAGACAGGTACACTTATTGCCCAGTATTGGCTTTTCCCCTTAATTGTAACCTTCAGTTCTGCTTATATTGCTTAAAAACATTTTTATAAATTATTTTTAAGAAGTCTCGTATTGTGCAGGTGAAAGTATATCCATACCATATCAATGATCCTGAATTTGCAAATGCATTGGTTGATTCATTCCTAGAGATCAATGGTAAAAATACTAACAATTCTAGTCATCCACAAGTTGCCATTTCTGGATCCGTTGAAACCTCTCATGGGGATCATGTTTCAACTGCATCAAGCATCGGAACCTTTCTCTACACACCAAGTGACTTCCCAGATGCAAGACCAGGTTCTAGTTTGAATTAACATTTTTTGCCTTGAAAATATTGGTTACATGTCTACTTTCAATAATGGCTAAAAGAAGTCAAATAAAGTTATGTTATACAACACGCCTTATTCTTGTATTGAATTGCCTAGACCGTTCTTAATGAAGCTTGGTATCCCTTATCTTGTTTACTTGAAGGAAGATGTCTTGTCCTCCATGACTCGTACTGGAGTAGTTTAAGTTACAACTGGTCTATGGCATGTTGATATGTCATTAAGATCATCTCTCTTTGTAGCAGTTAAACATCATTATGCATTCAAGTGTGCACAATTCTCAGGGGAGATTCTCTCCCATATCAGAGACTCTCTGGAGAGAGAACATCTTAGAAGAAAAAGGCATATGATCTGTGAGGAATGATACTGTCCAGAATCATCTGATCTTGCCAAAAAAAGTTCGAATTCCCCACTGGGTTGTCAGCCACAAAATTACGTTTTTTTTCCCTGCACTATTTAGTTCTTTGCTTGGAACCTGAATTATGCTGATCTGACAACTATTTATCCGTTGCTAATGGCCTTTCCCCCCCCCCTTGGTGTGTTATCTAGGCAAAAATAGCTGGTGCAAATTTTACCATTGTTTTAGGCAGTCTTTTTTTTTTTTTGGGGTTTCCTCATGCCTGAACTCTGAGCACTGTTGTTTTCTAACTGGCAGAAACTGTGGATAAAACACAGCAGATCTTACAGCAATTGAGGCATCAAATAGATAAAGGAATTCCTATAATAGGAGCTGGTGCTGGAACAGGAATATCTGCCAAGTTTGAAGAAGTTGGAGGGGTTGATCTGATTGTGGTGTACAATTCAGGGCGTTTCCGCATGGCCGGCAGAGGATCTTTGGCAGGATTGTTACCTTTTGCTGATGCCAATGCTGTAGTGCTTGACATGGCCAATGAAGTTTTGCCAGTATGCTTTCATTGTTTTGTTCCATCCCAGTGCTTTGCGCATATAATCAATTGGTTTTTCATATGTCGCTTAATTTTAAGAGAAGATATTTTAAAATAGTTGATAAAAAGGTGTGATGAGTTATGGGACCACTTAATTTGATTGCTTCTGCCTTTGATTCTTATATCAGCATTTTTTGCCTTGGTAAGCTTGATTTTGAAAAATAAGATGAAAGTAAAGGGTTTGACTTTGTTATTTTGACTGATCTGGTTCTCATATGAACACTATTGAACAAAGATTTGCATGAAATCATTTTGGCACTACCCATCTTCTGCCGTGGTAACTTACCGTTGAGGTCAATTACAAGTAGCTTTTATATCCTTAATTTCTTACTTTTGGAGTAAGGTTCATTATTTTATAACTGATAGCCAATATGTTGAGATTTTGAATATGGTTAGGGGGTTTGCCAAATTTTCTTCTCATCCTCTGTTTTGGTTTTCTTAGTCACATCGAAATTTTCTTTACAGGTGGTGAAGAAGGTTCCCGTTCTTGCTGGTGTATGTGGAACTGATCCCTTCCGACGAATGGATTACTTCCTCAAGCAGGTGGAATCAACGGGATTCTGTGGGGTGCAGAATTTTCCTACTGTTGGGCTATTTGATGGTAATTTTAGACAAAATCTTGAAGAAACAGGAATGGGTTACAGGTAGGTGTGACTTGTGAGGAAATACTTCTTCAAATATTATACTAGTTGGATTGCTACATCTCTTGCAACTTTTTTCTTTCCAATGACCAGCTTGGAAGTTGAAATGATCCATAAAGCCCATAAGTTGGGTCTTTTGACAACCCCGTATGCATTCAACCAAGATGAAGCAATCGCAATGGCTAAAGTGGGTGCTGATATTATAGTGGCCCATATGGGTCTCACTACAGCAGGCTCCATAGGAGCAAAAACAGCTGTTTCCCTTGAGGAAAGCGTAGTTCGTGTACAAGCTATTGCGGATGCGGCACATAGGATCAATCCGGGGGTCATTGTGCTCTGCCATGGAGGTAAACAGATCACCTAGCAGTCTTATGTTTCTTTTTTCAACATTTTCATGCTTTTTCTACGAAATTTACTGCTTAGGATTGTGAATAGATCTTTACGTTGTCTTTTGTTTTAGCCCTATAGTGAATCATGGGAGCAATAACCTCCCGCATCAATGTCGTATCTCGCAACTGTTTATGAATAAAAGCACATGCTGCACGTTGCAGGTCCTATATCTGGTCCGAAAGAGGCAGAATCCATATTAAAGAGAACCAAGGGGGTCCATGGCTTTTATGGAGCTTCAAGCATGGAAAGGCTGCCAGTGGAACAGGCAATAACAAGCACAATTAAACAGTACAAGTCAATGGCTATTAATTGAGGCGCAACTTGTTTGTGATCTATAAATGCTAATGTTATGTAACATAATCATTGTCATGTTTTGTGAATGCTTAATACATAATAAAATTTTGAGGAACTGAGGATGTGAAGATTCGGAAATAATTAGGCAAAAGCAATGTATAATTTCACTTACACAAGAAACCAATGTGGGTTTGAAAATGTATTCGTCATTCGATTGGCTATCCTCTGAGTTGAATGGCGCAAAATCATTGCGTCTTGTGTCCTCTTCTGCTTCTCACGGAATCACATACGCTCCATGCCCTGTTACACATGAAATAGTCCTCTCCTATTCGAAGAGCCTCTGCGCGGCAAGAACCAGAGTCGACATTAAAAGGAAAAGTTCAAAGATGCATGCACTAGACATGGTGGTTTCGTAGACGGTTATCTCTTAAAAGTTACTTCATGTTCCTTCTAGTTATGTTTCTTACCTGCCTGAGTGTTCGAAATCTAGAATATATTAAGTTCCATGTCCACTAACTGGGTGATGAATCAAAGTTCTGTAACCTTGAGACGAATCTTAACAAATTGTCATGCTATTTTGAGATAAAGACATGTATGTGTCTAATTCTCTAAAATTAAAAAAGAAGAAGAAGGAAATACGAGTGCCAAAAGAAAATTGTAGGAAGGATATTAGGATATATTAAGTCTTATGTTGAAACCTAATTCTCAGAAAATATCTAATACTAGCTATTTTGAAAAATTGTGTGTTTGAAACAAAACAATGAAAGATATACTTTATGGAGTCCTTAATCAATTTTTTAAATATATTCTCGTAATAGTTTGCTTGCATAAAAATTTAATCGCATAAGATATTGGACGATATGATGATTAAATGTAATGTTAAATCTTAAAATAGAAGTAAGATATTCTATCCTATCAGTTTTAGCATTTAATTATTTTAAATAGAAGTAAAATATTGTGTAATTCCGTGAATCATATTATTCAATACTCATCTTGGACTTTAGAGCTGTATATTCCGAGCTTTTGTCTTGGGATTTCAGATCTGGCCATCGAAAGTACTACCTCCGATCCTTAATATAAGACCCCGTTTGACTTTTTATTTGGTCCTAATTATAAGAGCCCAATCCATTTTGTCTCTCATATTTATGCATTGTTTTCCAAGATAGTCCTTCTAATAATGATAGTTCTAGCCAATACACTTAATTAGCAAGGATATTTTGGGAATGACAACACTTATTTATTACAAATAACTAATTTAACTTACTTCCTTAATCTTCTCAAATAAGTCAACTGGGTCTTATAATTAGGACCAGAGGTAGTACTTCTTTATTTTGTTCCTTCCTTTTTTCTCCTTGCTTGATGGGCATGCCTGCCGCCAGCTTGATTTACTGTAGCTACAGATGATATGTAAATTGAGCTACGGCTTTTTAGCCTTTTAGAATACCATGAAAACAAATTTTCGAAATATTAATTGAAGTAATAATGCAAGGTACCTTTTATAATATCTATACGTTGGTCCCAGAACTTAAGGGCCCGTTCGGAATAATGTTGAAAATATCTATAAGTACATTTTATATAAATCGAGACAAAATTTTTTTTCGTAAATTATAATTAAAAAATTACTTATAAGCTATTCTAAATAGATCATAAATTGGGGTGCAAGATAATTTAAAAATTAATAATGTAAAAAAATAATACTAGTAATTATTTAATAATTTAAAAATAATTACACTATGCTTAAAAAGGTAATAACATAATTACACTAAGAATTTTCTTTTTGAAAGAATTATGTGTAGCAAGTTGACATGGTCTTCCTGTAAATACACTCTCCGCATCTTATTTTGTTCAAATGCCGCTAATAAGAAATATACAGCAGGCACCGCAGAAAGGCCAAAAAAGAGAGGCATTTCTCATGATAATTTTATTCAGGCTAAAGGTGAATCATACATTTTGATCTAATTTTTCATGCCCATGCTGCCCTCTAATTTTTTATATGGTACATGTAACTCCCCAATGTTTATTATGGTGCATTCAGTAATATGATCTTATTTTTTTAGTGTATCTATCATTTTAATCTTACTCATAGTACATTGAGCACCCTAAACATTAAGGTTCTCAATATAACTAAAAAATAAAATTAGAGTACTAGATGCACCATAGTAAAAGATCATGGTGTTGATCCACATCTGCCCTAAAATCGAAAGCTCAAATGAATCAGTCAAATTAAAATAAGATTGAATTTTATAAATTCTAGAAAAGGACAAGGGATCGGAATTGGATTTCATAAATTCAAAAAAAGGACAAAATCTTTCCATTGTGGGCAAAAAACTAACACGAGCAATCTTGAATCCTCGACTTTCAAAAGCTTCTACAGAGAAACACTTGTACGTTGACAAGTCGTAATCAAGGTTGAAGTGCTGACCAAAAACAAGAAGGAAAAGCCTTGATCAATAGAAACATATCAGATTTAGCTCTTTTTTTTTTTTTTTTTTCCCCCAGCGTTTGTTTTAGTTGAACAACTTAAGTGGGAGTTCTGCAGATAGAAAACCAAATGAATAAGCCAATTAAGCATGCAATACAATTGAATTGTGAAACAATCAATAACCCAAAGGGAGTAAAAGACGAAACCATAAAATATTTCATTACCGGGGATCTTGATTCTGTGATTGTGGCGCTCTTCAAGTGTGCCTGGTCAGGTCCATGGCTCCTGGTTGGCTTTTGAGATTTGAGTTTTACTCTTCAACTCCATTGCCATTTTCAAAGACGCCACTCTTCGTCAGGTTTCAACCACCAATTCGTCATTCCTTCCCATATTCTTCTTCTTCGTCTCGTCGCTTCTTTTCTCTGAGTATTCTCCCTCGCTCTCCTGCATAATGAAGAACCATAACGCCTCCCCTGCATTCTACTCCGTTCCGATATTTTCTTTCCTGCCGCTTCATTAGCCCAGGAATGGCCTTCTCCTCATCCTCTTCCGCTGAAACCAACCTTGCCACTGCCAAAACGTTCGTTTCGACAGCCGCCTCTGTGGTTGCCACCGCAATGTTTGTCCGGTCAGTGGCTCGAGACCTCTTGCCTTGGGACATTCAAGAAATTTTCTTCAACGGTATCTTAGAATTTTCCGTCACTTCTCTTCTCAACTCACCATGGTGATCGATGAATTCGATGGTATTGCCAGTAACCAAATCTACGACGCCGCACGCGTTTATTTGGGCAAAAAAATCCCCCCATCCACACGCAGAGTCAAAGTTAGCAAGCCTGATGCTGAAAAGGGCTTCGCGATCACCGTGGAACCCGACGAGGCCATCGTGGACGTGTTCGATGGTGTCAAATTCAGTTGGGTCTTTATATGCAGGGAGGTTGAGTCCAGAAATTTCCACAATGCGAGAGACCTGAGCTCGACGCTGCGATCGGAAGTCCGATCATTGGAGCTGAGTTTCCACAAGAAGCACAAGGAGTTGGTGTTAACGTCGTACCTTCCCTCCATTCTGCAAGAAGCGAAAGTGAAGAAGCAAGAAGCGAGGGCCCTGAGGATTTTCATGGCAGGGAACCTTTACGGGAATCTGAATGAGGCATGACTACCGACGAAGCTGGACCATCCAGCTACGTTTGAGACGGTGGCATTGGACCTGGACATCAAGAGATTCGTTGTGTAGGATCTAGAGAGATTTGTGAGTGGGAAAGAGTATTACAGGAAGTTAGGGAAGGCGTGAAAGAGAGGGTATTTTCTGTACGGACAACCTGGAACAGGGAAATCGAGCTTGATCGCCGCAATGGCGAATTACTTACAGTTTGACATATAGGATTTGGAGCTAAAGGAAATACGATGCAACTCGGAGCTCCAACTATATCTGATTGCCATGACAAATAGGTCCATTCTCGTTGTGGAAGACATTGATTTCACTGTTGAAATCCAAGATCACCAAGCAAAATCAACAGCCGCTTCAGGCTCTGAATCACCACAACCACTGGTTACTCATTGATAAACCTCCTCTTTAGTCTTGACAATTTAGCTTGGGATCACGAGCTCGACTTCTTAACAAAGTCATTGGCTTAACAGGTGACACTATCGGGGTTACTGAACTTCATTGACTAGCTGTGGTCAAGTTGTGGGGACGAGAGGATTATAGTGTTCACCACCAACCACAAGGAGAAGCTTGACCTGCCTTGCTGCGTCCAGGTCGCATGGACGTTCACATCTACATGTCATATTGCTCTCCCTCCGTGTTTAGGCAGCTTGTTTTTAATTACCTTCAACTTAAGCATCACTCTCTCTTCCCACAAATTGAAGAAGCCATCCTTGCCACCCACATCACACTTGCTGAAGTGGCTAAACAACCCTTGAAGATGAAGAGTGATGATCATCACTCACCTCTTTGAGACCTTCTGCACTTTCTGGCACAGAAAAAGATAAAAAATGAAGAGCTTGAGACCAAAAAAAGGGAAACAGAACTTCACCCCCATGATGAAAAGGATCAGTTGCCTGATGATGATGACTTTGAAGTTTGGGGGGCGGCACAATTTCACGCCCAATAGACGACGAGCCAAAGGCAGAGCCATTATTACTCATCAAAGACCCAGCCTCTCACGCAACCAATTCCAGTGCTCATTAATACTCATCATATCTCAGCCACTAAAATTTAATATAAATGATCGAGATTTAACATTTAACATTTTTATTTTTTAAAATAGGTACATAATCCAAAATAAATATAATATCTTAATTGTAAGTTTTTTAAAAATAAAATTTTTATTTAAAAATTATTAACTAAAAATTGTAAATCTAGACCGTTAAAACTGATTTTGAATAATTTAAATTTTTCTACAATGACAAGTATTATGGTGCTGGTCTTGAGGCAAGCCTTGGAACTAATTCCTGCCAATCACAGCCTTTTTAAGGTTGAGAGCACATTCCATGCTCATCACAATATGAGCATGAAGTGCTCATCACAATTTGGACTATCCAGATCGATTTTGAATGGTTTAGATTAAATTTAAGTTTTTTTTATATATTTTAATCAACTTTTTGTTCTAATAGATACATCATTTAAAATAATTATAATATTATAACTAACATATATTTAAAAAATAAATTTATCATTGCAAAAAATATATATTAAAAATTCTAAATTTAAACAATCCATATTAGATTTTGAATGGTTTATATTGCATTACAGTAATAAGCACACGGTACTCATCGTTGTGATGAGCACTGAATGAAGAA